AGGCGCTTTTTTTTTCCAGGCAGATTAAACGGAGTCTTTATTTTGGGCACTTTCATCTTTAAACGGCTGACTTCAGCTCGCCCGGGGCCAGGAGCTGCGAGCCCGATCCGTCAGCGCTAATTGAGATGGGATTTGCGGTGCCCGCGCATGCAGCTGCTGAGCCGGGTACCTGGCTGAGGCATGGATGGCACCCACATGTATGTAGTATGTGCTGTATGCTGCATGGAGCTTCCTATGTTCTAGAACAGATGGAATGTTTTCTTTATTATTTTGTAACTGGAGTTGACCGCCTCCCCCCTTCTAGAAACTCAGGAGCTGGTCTGACACCTGAGACTATGTGCAGTAATCTGGATCAACTCCCCCAAAATGTCAGATCTGTACATTGCCTTAGTGAATGAGCCTCATGAAGGGTTAAAGGTGCACTCCATGCAAATACGAGGTTTAAGGGGGATCTGCCCAGCGATTTACTAAAGGATTGGGGTCCGGGTAGTTCATTCGGAATATCCATGGAGGTGTGATGGAAATAAGAGAAAGGGATATTGTTTCTGGCACCTGATTGGTTGATGGAGGTGAACACACCTTCCCATGTTCTGTCACTTCTACAGTGAATGGATGAAATTGGCTTGATTTATCTTTAGGGAACACCCGCAGTAACATTTTACGGTCCCCGATTCTATTGGCCACAACTGGGCGGCTTCTACCGAACCTCCTCCTGATGGATTCCTTGTCATTATAACATCTTGCCGGGATGGCGGGAGCCCCTCATAGTGGCACATAACTGAACACTCATCACCACAGTCCCAGAGGAACATACCACATTGTATGGCGGTTTAGCTCTCTGGCGTCCACCGAACGCGGAAGTAACGGTTTTGGGACGGACTGACCCTTTAACGCAAACCCACTGCGCAGCAATTGCCGCCACGGCCCGCCAGTCCGGTGCTCATGCGGCTCCCATTGCTGCAAAAGGTTCACATTAGGCTCCATTCACCAAGGTTTAACCCAAGAGGGGGATTTATCAAAACTAGAGCAGCCAAAATCTGGAGCAGTTTCCCACGGCAACCAATCAGCTTCTCTCTTCAGTTAAGATTTGAAAAATGAAAGAGAGAAGCTGATTGGTTGCCGTGGGCAACTGCTCCAGATTTTGATAAACTCCCCTCTTGGTCTTGTGTTTAAAGCTCCGTGAATGGAGCCTAATGTGTCCTCCTGGAGGAGCTTTTACAGCAGGGGTAGTCAAACTGCGGGGAAACTACAAATACCATCATGCATCTGCCTCAGTAGGCCATGCTTTGTGGCTGTCAGAGACTTGCAATGCCTAATGGGACTTGTAGTTTCATCACAGCTGGAGGGCCGCGGTTTGGCTAACCCCTGTTTTACAGCAATGGGAGCCGCATGACCACATGACTGGCAGGCCGTGCTGGCAATTGCTGCTCTGTGGGTTTGCGTTAAAGGATCAGTCCGTCCCAGAACTATTATAGTCATGTGACTGTCAATTTCAAATCTCATTGGATTCAGATAAAGATAACTGTCACTTTTTTTGGGGGGCAAATAAGAACCTTTATCCCGGTGTGTTGGCTTTGGGAATGGAGCCTGTTGAGTTAATTTTGCAAGTGATGCCCGAAAATCCGAGCACTGCTTGTGATTCTTGTACATTGTAAGCGATGGAATGGAGAAGGGGCGATCCGTTCCTGGCTGTCAGTGATGGCAGATTGTGAGATTTATTGATTGTGACAAAAGTCGGATGTTTTATTTGTTATTGGTAATGATACGAGATCGGGCAGACTATAGATACTGTTCAGGGATCAATAATATTGAACAGTAAAGTTTGGCGTGTGCCCCTTGCTTAGTGTATGATGATCATTTAAAAGAGGTGGTGATGGGTGGGTGGTGGTGATGATGGAGGAGGTGATGATGATGGTGGGTGGAGGTGATGATGATGGTGGAGGTGGTGATGATGATGGAGGTGGTGATGATGGTGGAGGTGGTGATGATGGTGATGATGGTGGAGGTGGTGATGATGGTGGAGGTGGTGATGATGATGGTGGTGATGTGATGGTGGTGATGATGATGGTGGTGGAGGTGGTGATGATGATGGTGGAGGTGGTGATGATGGTGGGTGGAGGTGATGATGATGGTGGAGGTGGTGATGATGGTGGTGGTGGTGATGATGGAGGTGGTGATGATGGTGGAGGTGGTGATGATGGTGATGATGGTGGAGGTGGTGATGATGGTGGAGGTGGTGATGATGATGGAGGTGGTGGTGATG